CTTGCTATGCAAGTTCTGAAAGTTAATCCTGCAATGCAATTTCTGCAAAGCGGTAAAACATGATTTTTCAAGAAGAATCCATATTTGGAGTCTGGCTTTAACCACAAATCTACATAACATTAGGAAATACAGAAGCTTTCTTATCAAAAACTATATCCAAGAGGCCATTACTCGAAACTAGCATGCTTTCAGAATGAAGCAATCAGTTGAAAAGCATAGACACCTATTTCATACTCTCTATTCTGTGATTCAAGATGCTAAACATTGAGATTGCGTTTTAAAAAAATATAGCATTCCTATGATGTTCGGAAGGCTTTAAAAACTATTGAGTACTCACAGGTTGGTGCAGAGGCAGGTGCTTCAGCACGTGCAACTGGGCTTGTTGGAGCACTACCATCAGGGGAAATTGGCTCATAAGTAGGTGGTCCTGACACAGCGGCCGATGTGGCTAGAAATTGCAGCGTTGGCGGTGGTGGCACTGTTGTTGTCGTCTGGACATTTGTATCCTAAAGAGCATTGTTAACTAAATTCCTACAGGTTACGAAAGCTTCATTGTTCTTACCTGAAATGATGCAGCGGATGTTAGCACACTGCTCGTGTTTGGTAGTGCTGGTGACGCCATAGGCTGAACAATTGCAGAAGGAACTTCGGTTTTTGGTACACATATCGCTGGTGACGTCATCGGTTGAGGGGTTTTGCTGGGTTGACTTGCTGGTGAGCAAGCGTTTAATGACTGCTGAAAATGAGCAAAAACGTTAGATGCTGCCGACGATGGTGCAGCTGAGACAGATGGAGACATCTGAAACGATAGATTAGAGAAAAATGTAGTGATTCTTCCGTGCATGGTTACATACGTGCTGGGTTGTCATCTGAGGTGATCCAGTAGCACCATGTGAAGTATTCACAGCCAACGCGCTATATGCTGAGGTGCCTCCTAGGATAGATCGAGCAGCCGGATTCTGAAGAAAAAATTTTATTTAAGAAGTCGTGCAGATAAGGCAACTAAACAGAGAATGCCCATTACTCATAACTCCAGTCATGACTCACAATAGACGGTCGCTGTATTCCTACTCCAGCGGGACTTCCTGGCCTCCTCTGAGGATGTCGAGCTACAGAAACGGGTGGTATGTTTAGCATTTCCAAACCTGAAGAGTGAAATCATACAATAAGGAACAACAACGATTTGAGTAAAAAGAGAAGTCGAAGCGCTTACCCGATTTCCGCCGAATTTCCGGTGGTGCAATGGACGAGTGAGCTGCTGCAGCGTGTGCTGCTTGCGCAGCAGCGTGGCTATTGGCGAGTTCATCGTGAACAACCTAGAGGTTATATTTGTAATTAGATTCCATTACAGCCGCTGGAAACTCCATACACCTAATGACGTGCAAAAAAATTCAAGAAAAAATCTTGTATCAAGATCTCTCAGAATCCAAACCGACACAAAATCAAGAACACCTTTTCTGCAAAATATCAAATTCAGATCTTACTTTCTTTCAAAGGAACTGATAATCTCCTTAACTTGCTCAGAAAGGATTGTAAATTAAAGGGAAACTCCATTTCAACAGTTACAGAAAATAAATTCGCTCAAAGGAAAAGCTTTTTTGGAGTACTTCGTATACAGGCTTAAAATCGTTCCGGAAACCAATATACAATGACTGGATATGCAACATCCACAATAGCGCATATGGGAAACAGAAATAATGGTTCCCGCTTCCAACCAGTTAAACGCTTCTCTTGTAATTCTGGTGTAAACCAAGTAGCTAACAAATTCGTTACC